GTTAGGGATGTGGTTTGCATCTTGTATGGACTGGAAACGTACAGGGTGCAAGGGAAGTCCTCTGCTTTCCAATCTTTCTGGTTGGCCATATTGGTGATGGTCTTGTTGTGCCGCTCGTGGTCTTTGTCTGCTCTACGACGTGTGTGGCGCTGAAAAAATATGTGGTCGAGTGTTGTATACCTAGTCAGGTTCTCTGACAGTCTTCGATGTCGATTTCGGCACGATGCGCGTTCAAGGATGCTAGCCTGGGCCGGTCTTCGCGATGAGGCTCAAATCGCGAAATGTGGGGGAGGGGTAGATTCCACCCCCATGCGGTAAGGCGCGTTCAGTGGAGCTATGACCCGCATGCCGCCAGCCATGCCAGGTACAATTGGAGAGAGCGTCATACATCATCATTGCTAGCTGAAATGTGCAATCGCGTCATGCGTCATTTGCTTTTGCATACCTCGGTTTCTTCAAGGCTTTTGCTTCCTTACACCCATCCACCTTGACTTCAACCATCAAATCGACCCAATTGACACATACACAACCTCACCTTCAACCCTCACCACCTACGTAATACATTGCTCGAAGCTCGACGGCCCAAGCCACCATGTTCCGCAACAGCATGATCCGGTCCACAAGGACTCTCCGTCTCACCGCCCCATCCGCACGTCCTTTCTCCATCTCGACCTCAAGACGCGTCGAGCAATACCCGAATAACCTAAGCACCAACTCCAAGACCAAGACGGACAAATACGATAGCGATAGCCCGCACGCGGTACAAGAGAAGGTCAAGCAGGGCGACACACACAACGTCCAGGAGAGCAATGCAAAGGCAGGCATAGAGTGAGTGGTTTCCAGCAACAAACATACGGGGACGGAAGGCAACGAACGTGGCTCATCGCAACATACGGCTAATACCATGAAGCAGCGCACAAAAAGAGGGCAGCGGTGGTCATGCGACTGAAGGAAAGGACTCGGCTGGTGGGAAGGAGAAGGCGAAGAAGGAGTTTCCCGAGGCGCCCGACCCAGCCATTGGCATGCAGGATGAGAGGGGTGGACGGGGTGGTTAAGTCTGCCTAGGCGTGCCGGGGTACGATGCAGTCTTCGAGCTTGTGTGCCTACGCTTGTCGATAAGCCTGCTCGTCTGCCTGGTGTTGTGTTCGATCAAGATCACAGGTTATGGTGTTATGTTCGGTCGAAGATCAATAACCTGTGATCTTGATCGAACGCAACACCAGTCAGATGAGTACATTCGTTGAGACGCCTAAGTGCATACAAAGAAACCGCATTGGAGGACGAGACTAGAACGAAGGCAGAGCATGTTGCTCGAACTCTAGGAATCAACATAATACGAAGAGATATTGCCAAGTCTGCGGATCCTACCACGGTGGCTTGTTGGTGTGAAGTATCGGATAACTACAAAATGCATCACTACCATTCAGAATCGGATACTGATACTGATCCGGCGATCCTCTCCGTACTATCCGCCGTATGTTTTGTTGCTCCGCACATTCCAAAACATTTCGCAAGGGACGAATAAAGGAAAGTCCATGCGGCCTACCCAAAGACCTACCAGACGATACGAACATGAAAGAACCCTCGACTAACCAACACAGGAAATACGCTCGCAACTCCATCATTCACTGTAGGTAGATAAATACTCGGAGCATCGTGCCTGTAGAAATAGTCCAGCACAGCGACCCATCAGCTCCATCAATCCACGCTCACTCTTCTCTACTCAACTCAACTCTACTCCACCACAGAGAAAGCACTCAACCAACCATCATCATCATGAAATTCCCAACCCTCTTCCTGGTCGCCCTCACCACCGTCGCGAGCGCGACCCCCATCATCTCCCTCGAACTAGCAGAACGCCAAATCATGACGGATAACCCAAAAAACATCTGTGGTACATGCGCTCTCGTCATCGATCTCTACACCAAGGTAAGTTTCTTGATCACAACTCCTGCCTTTGCCCATTGCATGACAAAGACCGATCTGACAATCCTTCCATAGGTAAACCACTGCCTCCCCAATGAAGTAAGAAAGAAGACAGGTGCTTGTTACGATGAACAGGTGTGCAAGGCTGTTAAGAAGAATCTGCTGTGCAAGGGCGCTTGCGGGTACAGTTGTATGGGGGTGTGATGGGCTGGCTGTTGTACAAAGAGTAACACGTGTACGTCCGGAGTAGCTTCCAATGGATTGGTGAGGGAGTTGTTTATTAAGCTTGTGGGGATGGTTGGATGGAATGGGCGGATGGGTATCTAGGGTGGGTGATAGTGATAGTGATGGGGATGTGATGGATATGTGTTGACGGGTTGTTTGTTCGGTTCTACCGCTCGCTTGGATATAGCTTTCCTGTTACCCTTTATTCACGCTCCCTGATCTACAAGCTCACTTCCCTCCATATCCTCCATCTAATTCCAGTCTCCAAGAGTTCTCATCGTGAACATGCCTCGACTCGCATTCGTAACGACCCTTTTCTTCCTCTTCGTTACGACAATCGTCGTTGCACACCCACTCGCGGCAACCCCTCCTCTCGACCAGCCAATCCCCAATCCCCCGTCTTTCCCACCTATCTATTACAAAAAGCCGGTCGCGAACGCCCCTAGGCATGAGGCGCACACATGCAGATACCATACCGGATACAACTGCTAGAGTAAGTCTCAAAGTGTTCCAATGCCAGCTAAGGATACAGCATGCTGCACTAAAGAGATAACAAAGGGAAATGAGCTGATGTCAATACAGTGCTGTTGTGACAATGCTACTGAACGTAGTTGAGAGTACGAGTGCGTGGTTCGCGGGCAGGATCTTTGGTATATGGATGAGTAGCTTTGGGTGCGGCACAGGCTAGATCGGCTGATGTTGGGGACGAGGGACTGTAACATGTCGAATCTATGCCTGGGACTGGTTGCTCTCCAGGACTATCGAGGAGAGATGAGGGATATGGAAAGATCGTCCATTGATGTCATTTCTGCTGTAGAGTAGATGGCTCCCGTCGTGATAGCAAGCTTAGGATAGTCGCTGCAGATGACGAAACTCTGCACGTGCTCCCGATTCATCAAGATACCGATAGTCTTGTGTAACACCTACCCTTCACTCCTGCAGTACCTTGCTGACCCTCAAGTTGACGCCGAAGTTGTAGTTCTTGTCAAAAGCCAGACCAAAGTCTCGATCCGGGGTGATGTTCTCGATAGAGGAATCTACAAGCTCCAGGTCGAAGTTCTGAACTATGGCCGCGATGGTGAGGTACAACTCCGCGTATGCGAGGCTAAACTCTGTTAGTATGGTTTCAACGTACAACATGGCATGACGTCTTACTTGATGCCGAGGCAAGCTCGGCTGCCCTTTGAGAAGGTAACGAGATACTTGTCGAGGTATTCTCCGCGGGCTTTGGCTTCGATCCATCGCTCGGGTCGGAAGATGTGAGGATCTGGGAATACGTCGGGGTGGTTATTGAGTAGATACGGGGATGCGCCGATGATGGTCTTGGATAGTGTTAGATGAGTGAAGCTCCAAAACGAGTGTCATACTTACACCAGATGGGATGAACAAGTCCTTGTAGGGAATAGGCTCAACGACCACGCGTGGAAAGCGGCCTGTGAAGCAACACTGGAAGCGGAGAGACTCGTTGATGACCGCCGTCTAGTCCGTGTTAGGCGGTACGACTGATTGTGGCGATCGACTTACCAGATACGGCAGAGCCTCGAGCTCGGTCAAGGTCGACGTAGAGTGGGACTCCAGCTCCGCTCGCAGCTTCGCCAATATACCGGGATACGTGAGCAAGTAGCACATCGCACAAGTCAGAAACCGAGCTGTAGTGTCCACACCAGCGAACAAGATAAGCGTGCCCTCGTCCTTCAATCGTTGCAGCGTCTTTTCTTCTTCAGGAACCTTAGAGCTGAGTAGCGCATCGAATATCGTCCTAGGCTTGGCTGGCTCCACTCCTTCTTGGCTCTTCTTCAGCGCCTCGAGGGAGTATCTCGTGATCCGGTTGTCGAAGTCCAACCAGCTGACGATAGACGGGTTTATACGGGTGATTAACCAGGCCGGAATGCGCATCAGAACCGCATCCATGGCCGGGAAGAATTTACGCAGGTTCAAAGTCAATGCTACGCCTTTGACGTCTCGCTGGAGCTCACACGGTAATCCAGGCTTATCGAGGTCGCCGAAACTCTCTCCGTACGCGTAGTGCGAGATGATGTCAACCGCGAGGCTGCCAAACATGAGATGTCCGATGAGTGTTTCTTCTGTACGATAGGCCTGTTTCATCAGCATGACCAACTTGTCGACTTTTGACTGGACAACATTCTCAAGATCCGAGATCGACTTCTTGGAGAACATGTTGGCAATGTAACCCCGCCGTTGTCGGTGCAGGTCATGGTCTTTGGTGGAGACTACAGACGTAGCTACGGTTTGTGAGAGCTCGGGGTGCTCTGTGGAGGCAGAGGTACGAAGTCAGTATATGTCTCACGTGCACTTCGTACAGTCAAAACTCACTGTTCATTTTCCGTCCAGCGCCTGAGTAGATCTCGGTGTAGAAGAAGGGATCGTTCAATGAGAGATGGTCCGGATTGACTCGTACCAGAGGGCCTGCGTACCATTAGCCAATGCTTTTTGTGTGAATTGCGTCGCGTCGCTAGTACTTACCATATTTCTCATGCATTTGGATGACCTTTTTGAGATACTGCCCACCTTGCAGGACGTCATAGTAAAACTCTGCTAGATATGACACCGCCGCCCACCACGGACCGGGAAAGTGTGCCAATGGGTGAAAAAAGACATTGTAGACGGTCTTGCTGGACCAGTACGCCAAGGCAACTGCGGCCAAGCCTTTGACTATGCTGAGTAGATCAAGCTCCATACTTTGTGATCGCGTTAGTGTTTGAGAAGGTAAGAAGGACACACAGTGCTTGACGTGCGTGGTCGAAGAAATGGTAGATAAAGATTTTGTGGGGTTACACGACAATCACACAGCAAGACTGCGCCACATCCGAAATTGGAAGGGCCCTCCCTCACTGCTCCTTGCTAGCTTTGCGTTTGCGTATGCGCACGGCTATTTTCTCCTTCGGTTGCACCAGTCCAAAAGCCGACTCCCGCAACTCAGGCATCGCTGCATCGATCAAATCCGGATCGCATAGCTGTATCTCGAACTCGTTGAATAGAACAGCCATAGTCGCTGCTTGCATGGCTCTGAAATAATGGCTAGCAGGGTCGAACGCCATCTCGTCACCGATTGCAGGGACCAGCAGCTCGAGATCTTGCGTGTCGAATCTCGCCTCATTCATGCTACTGCGGCTCTTTCGCTGACCATGTGCCTTTGAAGTGTCTTTCTCAGGGATCAAGAAGCGCTCAGCCCAGAATTCCTCCAATGGTTTTTCGACGGTGCGTGGCCGCGCCTTTGCCCACACTTTCGTGTTCAGTGCGAGATCTCGCGAAAACGAAATCCCATTGCAATTTCTGGGAAGTGTCCACTCGCTGTCAAGGGCAATATCAGCAGTTATGGTATATATCGTATACCTTGCCACACGGAGACGGCTGACCTCTGCCTGTAAAGACTGGAAGAGGGGCCTAGCTAGAATCCCATTCACATCATACGCGGCCGCTTTTGCTGACTTGCTTGTGGAGACCATCGCAGAAATCTGCTCGGCTAGGTATGGCTTGCGTAGCAATTCAATCGTGGTCCAAATAGCGCAAGGGATCAATTCCATATTCGAGCTATAATCATGTCAGCACGACTGTACGAGCCACGGTAATATAGTTTCACGGAGCATGCCTACTGGTGCATTACGTCTAACATCTCCGCGATTCTTGCCTCAAAAGGCAGCTGTTTGCTCGCAATCGTGTCATCAAGTTCTTGGATGAACTTCGAACCCCTATACTCGTCCAGATCTGCGTCATCGGGTCCAGTCTTCGCGAACTCGGTGCCACTGTGATTGACTTTCAGCCACTTTTCCACGCCCTGCCATAGCCGTTCGAGCGGCTCTTTGTAAGGTGCGGGTCTAAACAAAGATTGTACTGATAAGTAGTCTTGGATAGCGTCTTCGAACTTCCAGTAATCTTTTATGAGACCAGGATACTGTTTGAGAATGGCGGAGCCAAAGAGCAATTCCAAAGAGCACCTTGTAAGGACTTGCTGGAGGAACGACCAGACATCTTCTATCTGGGTCCAGCTGCTGACTTGAAACATCTTATCGTTCATGTTACGCGATAAGATATCGGTATACAGGTTGGTCATGGTGGCCAGCGAGCTGCCTTCCAGATACTTACGCGTTGTCACGCCACGCTGAGTTATCAAAAAATCTTGCGCGTTGACCGCGGCATCCTTATACTTCTTCCTAATGTCTCTGCGATAGCCTAGAATAACTTCGTGTATATTCCTCCTTGTGACGACTCCCCTACATGCTTGCATGACCTTCTTCGTATGTTCCGGGTCTCGAAGAACGGCGAAATCCAAGACGAGGAACGGCGCGAAATGTTCATATTCAGCACTAAGATGTGTCAGTACTCTTCCAATTACTACCACACAATAGAATTTACATCAGCTTCGCGAAGTACTTCTGCTGTCCGTTGAGAACGAAACCGAGATAATGGGAAGCTATTGGAACAGAGTAGGGAATCGATGGTGGTAATTTCCCTGACGCCTCCTTGTCCTTAAAATCTGAGTAGAAAATCCAAGTTGTAAAATAGTAGATCAAGGCAGGTGCGACGATCAGCAGGGCGAATATGAGTACGAGGAGCAACATTGCGGCTGTGATGGAGATGGGATGGATCGAGGTACCTCCAGGGCTAAGTGAAGTTTGACGAGCGCGCTATCTAAATGGGGTAACGTCCAATTTTCACGCGTCGCGCTAGTCCCCGCGATCCAATGCTCATGTCCGCCGTGATGGTCATCGCAAACCCACCCAACACTCTCACAATGGATCGACGCGTGCCAAATGCGAGGTCGAAACAAGGCACTGTCGTTGAACAGAAGCAACGATTCCTGCAGACCAGGAAACACATTTTATCGCGTCCAATACCGCCATCAGAACGGTTACGCACTCTTGCGCAAGATGGTGGCATTGAACTCAGTGTCATGAAAGGCGTGCTTGATAAAGGTATACAGTCGCCTCACTCACAGGCTCTACGCATCAGCACTAATGACCACCGAACAGTCAACCGCGACCTCAAACAGCACTCGCGAAAAGTCTACAGCCGGCAAATGATCGACCACGTAGTCGAGCAAATAGACATCCTATACTGGGACTCGGGCGCGCAACACGCCGACGACGACAACGAAGACGCGCACACTTCCTCCTCTTTACCCGAAAATGACGCGCACACGCTCTACCAAAACGACGACCTAACCCTCGACGAGAACATCGCAAAACTCCCTACCACATGGCCCGACCGCGACGCCGAAGTCACACCAGACGAATACCTCTCCTCCGTATCCCGCCTCCAAGAACTCTCTGCACATAGGCAGACGCTCCAGAACCGGCTTGATACATCCCGCACGTTGCTTTCGCTGCTAGAGCCGTACCGTAACCCCAAAGAGAATATACAGCCGAATCTGGTGTGGAAGGATGCGCCGCTTGCGTTGGAGCTGGCAAAGACGCGCACGCTCGCGATACGTGTCGCTGCGCGTGTGGAGGATAAGTTTGGAGATGTGCAAGTTCCTTCTACGGCGGAGGATGACGAGGATGTCGATATGGAGGGGCTGGATAATGAAGGGAGAAGGAAGGTGGATGCGGTGTTGGCGAGTTGGTAGTATTGGCCGACCTTCCTCAGTTTGGTGTTTGGAGTACACTTTGGCGTTTGGATATGATACCCCATGTTTATCACCTCATACATTAGCATACAACGTTTACAAACAGTAGGTATCGCGAAGCTCATGATATGGCCAAGGCGCTTCGACCCTCTTTCAGCAGCCCAACAAACCACCCCTCTCTATTACAAGCTACTCGTAGATATAGCTACCTGGCTAAGACCCACCCCCCACCTTCCCCCTCTCCTCAACCGTCCTCGCAATCTCATCTCCCAAGTCCGATCCCATCTTCTTGAACCCCTCAATCACACCCCGCTGATCCCCCACCCCCATCTCCTGACTCATCTTCCACTTGCCCCCTATATCCATTATCTCAATCTGCACCCCAATAATCGCCTTCTTCAATATCTCAATATAACTCGTCGGCGCGTCGTCAACTTCCCACGGCTTCTCGTAGCCCATAATCCCTTTCTCGGACTGGAGCGACAGGTCCCGGATCTGTTTGTCGAGGAAAGAGCCCGTGGAAGGGTCTTTTGTGTCGTGGAAAATGGTGGCTCGGCCGTAGACTTGGACGGCGGAGTAGTTCCACGTTGGGACTACTTTACCGCTTGCTGGTTTCGTCTCGGTGTAGAATTTCGGTGTGACGTAGTGGTGGGCTGGGCCGTTGAAGAGGATCATTATGTCGCGTGAGAGGGTTTGGATAGGCTGGTCTGTGTCGGAGTTGGTTTGCGATTCGAGATGTTCGATTAGGGCTTTGGCTTGGGGGTTGGCGCGGGCAATGTGGCCGCGCAGGACGCCGAGATGGGTCGAGTCAGCCTTGGGTTCTTCAGTGTCCAGGACCCAGGGGATGTGGCTTGATTGGAGGAAGGGGAATGATTTGGATTCGATAGCTGTGGTGAAGATGCCTAGTGGGTTTGCGTGGATAAACTGATGTAGTTTGGCAACATCTGCCTCGGCGTGAACGGCGCGGAGATACATCGTGGGTAGACCAGAGGTTGATGGTCTCATCCAATGTTTACGTGCTGATTGTGTCGGTTCTGTCGAATTTGAATGGTCTTAGGATGTAATTCGTTTGCGGGTTTCGGGCATGGTCTGTCTTGTAGCATCGACATGTCGGGCGTTCTATACGTAGGTATGATCGTGCCATAGGGCGCAAGAAGTACATGGCGTCTACGGCGTGTAACTAAAAGACCTAGCCAAAGATTGTTTGATGATACGGAATACGTGAGGGCTAGAACGCGAAGACGAAAGGACGAAGCGTGTCTATCCGCTCTTTGCCGGTCGAGTGTACAGCTGTAGTACGGTAAACATATCTACGTTGGGAATACTTTCTATTCTAAGAAGTTTAGATAAGTTGGGAGCATTTAGTATGCTATGGCGACAGCCTAAATCGCGTTGTGTACTCAGCACTGCAACCGATGGAGCTTGCCTAGGGTGTGACCCATGTGACGTCATGCAGCCCTCGTTAGCACTGTACAAAGCGGCACGTTATACGGCGTCCTGCCTCGTGGATTATCCGGGGATTATCGAAGCTTTATCGCTGCAAATCTGACAGCTCAACCGGGTCTACGAGACCTGAGTACAACTAGCATCGTAGATGTCAAGAAGCGAAATACCGAGCCGTGTTGTCGGAAATGCTCCGCACGCAAGGTGGGGTTGAGTCCTGATGCGGTAGGTGCGAGCGACTATCCTGATAAACGCAGTACGTATGAGCGTTATCATCGCCCTTTAGTCCGGCGCCAGTATCGGTACAGGTGTCTGTCTGAGCATTAGACAGACTGTACTTCATACCAAGCTTCTGTCATCGCCGCATACAGCGTACGCACATCGACAATGGGTTCAAACTGGGAGCAGCTTGCTGCCGACAAACGCAAGCGCATTGCCGAATCTATCCCCTCAGACTGGTTGATCCGAACACCTCCGAGCGACGACAATCTGTTTTCATATCCAAAGGAATCAGGCCTGCTTTCTGCAAAAGAGATTGAGATTACCGAATCATCGGCGACTGATCTCGTTGCTCAATTGGCGCAGGGCAAGCTGAAATCGGTTGATGTCACGCTTGCGTTTTGTAAAAGAGCTGCTATAGCACAGCAACTGGTGAGATGGGTTTAATGATAGGCAAAAGTGCATCGACTAACGACTGATCATAGACGAACTGCGTACATGAGTTCTTCCCCGAAGAGGCTCTTGCACAGGCCCGTGGTCTGGATGAGTATTATGCTAAGCATAACAAGCCCATTGGTCCTCTGCATGGACTTCCTATCTCGCTGAAAGATCAACTACGAATCAAGGTATGAAGCAATTACCTGCGTCAACATTCAGTTCACAACTGACATGCTCGATCAGGGGAAAGAGACATCAATGGGTTACGTCTCCTGGCTAGGAAAGTACGACGAAGAAGACTCCGTCCTCACAGCACTTCTCCGCAAAGCCGGTGCCGTCTTCTACGTCAAGACAAGTGTCCCGCAAACATTGATGGTCTGCGAAACCGTCAACAACATCATCGGCAGAACGACAAACCCACGCAACAAGAACTGGTCGTGCGGCGGAAGTTCGGGTGGTGAAGGAGCTATGATCGGCATTCGTGGAGGCGTCATTGGTGTTGGAACCGACATTGGCGGTTCCATTAGGATTCCGTCGGCGTTCAACTTCTTATATGGCATTCGTCCGAGTCATGGTCGTATGCCGTATGCGAAAATGGCGAATAGTATGGAGGGACAGGAGACTATTCACAGTGTCGTTGGACCCATAGCGCACTCGGCAGCCGGTGAGTGGATCGAGCTAAACTCATGTACACGGGTTGACTGACTACCCAGACCTGAGACTCTTCCTCACTTCGGTACTCCAACAAGAGCCCTGGAACTACGACTCGAAAGTCGTCCCAATGCCTTGGCGATCTGACCTGGAGGATGCCGTCAAAGCAAAGCTGGGCTCATCCGGCCTTACCATCGGGTACTACAACTGTGACGGCAACGTGAGTCTCATAGAACCACGTTATGATTACGCTCGCTAAAAGCACAGGTTCTCCCACATCCTCCGGTACTGCGCGGAATCGAGCAGGTAGTTGATGTCTTGAAGCAAAACAAACACAAAGTCGTGCCGTGGACTCCATACAAGCACGACTTTGCCCATGATCTCGCTGACAAAATCTATGGTGCAGATGGCAGCACGGTAAGATCCTAGAAATTGATTTCACGCAGTTCCGCATAGCTAATCGCTCAACAGGATGTGATGAAGGACATCAAAGCTTCCGGGGAGCCACCCATCCCCAACATCAAAGAACTCCTCAACCCTGATATCAAAAAAGCCGACTTGAACGATGTATGGGACATCCATCTGCAAAAGTGGGACTACCAGATGCAATATCTATTCAAATGGCGAGAGGTTGAGGCTGAGCTTGGTTGCGAGCTTGACTGTATAGTCGGCCCCATCAGTCCAACTGCTGCTATCCGACACAATCAGTTCAAGTACTATGGCTATGCTTCTGCCATAAACTTGCTCGACTTTACAAGCGTCGTCGTTCCTGTCACTTTTGCTGATAGCAAGGTCGATGGCAAGCGGGCGGATTACAAACCGTTGAATGATCTGGATGCAAGCGTTCAGGCGGAGTATGATCCTGCTGCTTACCACGGTGCTCCGGTTGCTGTTCAGGTGATTGGAAAGAAGTTGAGCGAGGAGAAGACGTTGGCGATTGCGGAGGAGATTGGGAGGTTGTTGGGTAATGAGGTGACGCCTTGAGGAATGGTCATACAGACGTACACACACAAAGACAAAATAAAAGGCACAAGTGTCAAGACGAATACTAGAAGTCTTCAGAATAGTGCAAGCTATGGGCTTGTGTGATCTGCACATGTGGCGTGAGTGTTGAAGTTCGGCCAATTGAGTCAAGGGCTTGGCGTGCGCCTCAGTGTGGCGCTGGCGCGTAGCTCTTCATAGAAGGTGGGAACAGGCTGGCGCGTGCGCAGTCTAATACGGCAATACGGAGCGGATTCCTGGTAGCAGAACGTCATCGAGTACGGGGAGGATGCTCAGATCGGGTCCATGCATGTGCCACAATCTTAATGCTCCTTACCCACAGAGACGGGTCGTACAACAGATGCCATCGTGAAAGCGGTGTTGTTCTGCTGCGCGCAACAAAATCACTGTGTCACTGTCAGCCTCAAAGAGAAAGGGCCTAGGCCAAACGGCTGTCTGTAGTTTCAGATTAAAGACCAGGCCAGCGGTTGTTTGGCTCAAACGGCGGGCGGTTGGCAAAGTAGCGCGCCCACCAGCGCCAGTGACGCCGCCAAGCCCCCGACTGACCGCGTATCAGGGAATGCGAGGGTTGAAACACGTCGCCGTGTGCGCCATGCCAGTCACCTCCAAGTTCATAATGAACCCTCTCTTTGACGTTCTCATTCACCCCCTCTGTGCGACTCTACTGCCCTAATAATTTATCTGCAACCGCAAACAACCGCGGCTGCTTTTCCCTGCCCTTCTTCCATGGCCATCTGCGCTTAAGACAGGGGTTCCGATTCACAACTTGACCGCATACGCGACCTGCACCGCTCTGAGCCATGTCCGACCCCAACAAGCCATCGCCAGAGTCGCGGCGGAACCAGAGCATCGAGAACTTCGCCGCCTCGCTGTCCACTGCCGCCGCCATTTTCGGCATCCAGATTGTTGTTTTTTTGATTCTGAGTGGCAACTGGAAGCTGCACAAGGGCGTCTCCAAGAAGAAGACCGAGGATGATGCAGACCAGGCCGACAAAGCGGCGGCGCGACAGAGTCTGTTCCACAAGATATAGTATGCGACGCCGCTTCCCTGCCTACATATCCCCATGTGCTAACCATTGCCAGCTACTACAAGACCGCCTTCGTTCCCGTAGCCAAGCGCATCGCAGCGCCCACGACCGCCATCGACTCATTCCGCAATGTCTTCACCATCAGCGATAAGGAGCTTATTCGCGTTGCCGGTGTCGACGGCTACCTCTTCCTCCAGTACCTGCAGCTCCTGCTCCGCATCTTCATACCCATGGCACTCATTATCCTGCCTGTCCTCCTACCCATAAACCGAAAGGGCGACGAGCCCGGTGTCTCGGGCTTGGACTCCTTCGCCTGGCCCAATGTCGCGTTCCCGAACAAGAGACATCGTCTGTGGGCGCACTGCATCATTGCCGTATCGGTCGTATGCTGGGTGTGCTTCAATTTCTACTTGGCGCTGAGGCAATTCGTGCGCCTCAGGCAGACCGTTCTTACCAGGCCCGAGCATCGTATCCGAGCATCTGCCACCACTATTCTCGTGCAAAGCATCCCTGAGAAGTGGCTCACGGTTCCTGCGCTCGACGCCCTCTATGATGTCTTCCCCGGCGGCATCAAAGATATCTGGATCAACCGCAACTACGACGATCTTATGGACAAGGTCAACGACCGAACCAAGATTGCACGGAGCCTTGAAGCGGCCGAAACAAATCTCATCATCACATGCACCAAAAAGCACAAGAAGATGGAGGAGAAGGCCGCCAAGGAAGCTGGAAAGAAGAAGTCCAAGGCGGAAAAGAAGCACGACGAGGCGATGCAGAACCACGCAATCAACCAGGAGACTCACGAACAAGGTGTGGACGCCGGTAACCCCCACGAGATCGAGCAACAACTCCAAAAGGTCCTGGCAGAGTCTGCATCATCATCATCCTCTTCTTCGCGGTCGACTTCACCTGATCGCAAGCGCGGCGTGAACATGAACCCATTGCCCTTTTTAGGAGAAGGCATGCACGCTGTCGGCAAAGGCTTCCGCGATGTCGGCCAGGGTGTGGATCGCTTCAACAAGAACGTCTATGGTGGAATGCGAGGAGTTTTCGGCGGAAAATCCCGTCAGGCTGGTCAAGCGCGGAACCCTGAGGAAGCACAGCCAAGTTTCGACGGCAGCGATGAGGTTCCAGCATCGTCACCCACATCTGCGGACTACCACCAAAGGGCCGCTAGCAGCGATACCCATACTCCATTGGCCACCAAAGAGAAGTACGATTCTGAAGGTACTGTGTCAGAGCCCAACTCTCCTCAGACGAACTTGAAAGCACCCGCAGCCGAGACGGACACTAAAGACGACAAGCCTGTACAGCCTGCATGGAAGCACCCGCTCAACAAGCTCAAGGCCATGTACGTCGGTCAGGGTGACTTTATAAGCCCAAGTCCATTCGTGAAAGAGGGAGAAGAGCTACCATTGGAAGTCAAGGATGCCAGTAAGATCAAGTACGACCTATCAGGCTTGTACGACGAGTCTATGGAAGAGGATGGCGAGGACGCTCTCTGGAGAAAATACATGAAGCCAAAGGACAGAGAAACGATGCGTCTGCCCATCTTGAACTTCTCGTGGTGGCCGTCGCTGCCTCTGATTGGCAAGAAGGTGGACACCATCTACCATTGCCGCAAGGAGCTTGCCCGCCTCAACGCTGAGATTGCCGACGACCAGGCTCACCCAGAGCGCTTCCCACTGATGAACTCGGCCTTTATTCAATTTAACCACCAGGTTGCTGCACACATGGCCTGTCAGTCATTGAGTCACCACATTCCCCGGCAAATGAACCCACGAACCGTCGAGGTTAACCCCAACTACGTCATCTGGGACAATTTGACCATGAAGTGGTGGGAGCGCTACCTACGCATGTTTGGTGTCATCCTACTCATCGTCGGACTTATTATCTTCTGGGGTATTCCCGTCAGTTTTACAGGAGCTCTGTCCCAAGTCGACTCTCTGACCGAAACATTGCCATGGCTTGGTTTCATCAATGATGCTCCTGACTGGGTCGTTAGTTTGATTCAGGGTGTGTTGCCACCAGCCTTCTTGGCCATTCTCTTCGCTATTCTGCCCCTACTCCTGCGCTTCCTGGCTGGTCTTACCGGTACGACGACATTTGGCGAACGCGAGTTGCTTGTACAGAACTTCTACTTCGCCTTCGTATTTGTCCAACTGTTCCTGGTTGTTTCCATCTCTACTGGTATCACTTCGACCATCGACGATCTGCTCAACGATCCCCTCAGTGTCCCCCAGACATTGGCGCAGAACCTCCCCAAGGCCGCCAACTACTTCTTCTCTTACATGATTCTGCAAGCGCTAAGTATCAGTTCCGGTACTCTGCTGCAAATTGGTGCTGTCGTTGTCATCATCTTCCTCCGTTTCCTGGACACCACACCGCGCGAGAAGGTTTCAAGGGTGTTGCAAAGGCCGGGTATCAACTGGGGTACCATGATCCCGGTCTATACCAACTTTGCCGCCATTGGTAAGTTTGTCAATCGAGACAAACGTTTACATAAACTAACGATGCCCAGGTCTCATCTACTCAGTTGTCGCGCCCTTGATCCTAATCATGATGTTGATTACCTTTAGTCTCTTCTGGTTTACCTACAGGTACCAGATGATCTACGTCAGCTACGCCAAGGCCGAAACCAACGGTCTCATCTTCCCCAAAGCGGTCAACCAGCTTTTCACTGGACTCTACTTCCTCGAGCTCTGCATGATCGGTTTGTTTTTCCTGCAGGAAGACGAGCAGGGGAGGCAATCGTGTTTCCCTCAGGCTATCATCATGATCATCATTATGGTCTTCACTGTGCTTTACCAGGTCGTGCTGAACAGAGCGTTCGGGCCTCTCTTCACGTACTTGCCAATTACATTCGAAGACGAGGCGGTCCTGCGAGACGAAGAGTGGCAGCGGGCACAGGCCAGCAAGTGGGAACGGGAGGACGAACACCAAGGTCTGATGTCTCAGGAAGACGCACAGCGGACAGCCGAGGAGCGCGAACGAGCCCACCTAGACGAACAAAACCGCCTCGAGGAAAGGAAGGAACGCGAGGCAGCCCATGGCCCTGGATCATACGAGCTCAGCAATCTGGATGGTAACATGCCACCCGCCGGCTACGGACAGTCACCTCGACCCGACAATCGTGCGCGCAACTCAAGCTGGGCTGACCGCTCACAACGCTCCCGTCGCAGTTCGCGCTCGCAGTCTCACCACAAGAAGCGCAAGGACCCTCTAGACATTATGACCAACGCCCTCAAGAAGGGTCTCGACGACGTCGCAAAGCCCATCCGCGACGCAGAAGCGCAAGTCCTTCCCGCTGGCAACCTTTTCGACGAAGTCGACGACGAGCTCGCCGACATTGAGCCCGAGGCCCGCCAGAAGCTCATCAAGCGCTCCTTCCAACATCCCGCCACCCGCGCCATCCAGCCCGCCGTTTGGATCCCGCATGACGACCTGGGTGTTGCTAAGGACGAGATCCAGCGTACTAGTGCGTTTACCAAGCGCGTGTGGATCACAAGTGTGAATGCGCGCTTGGATGCGAGTGGCAGTGTGATTTACAGGGGATTGCCGCCGGATCGGGATCCGTTTGAGAATATTGAGGTTTAGACGGGTAATTGTTATAAGATGGGAGGAAAACTTGTTGTATCATCATTGTGGTATGGGTGTTGTTTTCTTTTCTCTTTTATGTTAGCCGTTCGCGGCACCTTTATAGCATACAAGCATAGCGTGGAGTTTCAAGGCATTGGGGGGGCATCAGATGCATTCGTCTTCTTCTAAGACTATTACTACCTATTCCGTATCACTACCTAACATTAGAGGTGTAGGACCTGATCCGTTATTCAAAATATCAGATCCTCCAGATTATCGTTCCAGCCGCACACAAACTCGTCTGTTTCCGCATTCGCAAGCCCATCATCCGCTGCAGCTCTAGCATCAAAGGCATCCATGAGCTCCTCAAAGGAACCCTGCTCCACGATGCAAGGTTCCTGCGGTAGCGGGGGGTCCGCCCATATGCTCTCAGCCGCTGTACACGCGGGGTTCATGAAGGCCGGGAGGTCCTCAGCGGGCGCCACATCCATGTTTGCAAACCATGAAGGGTCCGTGGCATCTACCATATCCCCACCACCGAACAACAGCTCCATGTCGGCCCTACCCGGGAGGTTGTCAACGGTTTCTACAGCTTCGGCGCTGTCTTGTCCACGCTCTTGTAGGCGGCAGGGGGTTCCTGCCTCGACGCGTTGGTCGATGGTGTACTCGTTGAAGCCGGCAAACGGGGCGGGTTCGAACGTGTAGTTTTCCTCTGATGAGGAGTTGGTGGTGGTGGTCGTGGTGGTGTCAGGGGTTGGTACCTGGGCTACGACGACCGGCCTGGTCTTGGGAGGTCTTCCCCTCTTCTTTGGTACCTTGGGCACCTCGTCCATAGGCTTCGCCTTAGGAGGCCTGCCCCTCTTCTTTGGTACCTTTGGTACCTCATCTTCGCCTCCTGACTGCCTCTTTCTCTTGGTAGGCGCGGGGGGAACGGGGACGGAGGGAGTTGTTGGCCATGTTGGAGGAGGCACCGCTCCGCCATCATCCCGTGTGAGGTCGAAAACCTGACCAGTGGTAGTAGCATCGATGATGCTACCCTGCTGCTGCCACCCAGGCGTGAAGTGCCTTCTAACATTCTGAAACATAGGCTTTGGGACGAAAGCAGCCTGAACCACAGGCTGACTAAACCTCTGTGGCTGCTGTGCGTAGGGAGAAGAATAGCAATTAGTGGCAGCGACGCCAGGAGTGCTCACGGCGCCGGGTTGTGGCCTACCCGGCATGTGAGAGTAGTATTGCTGCTGGTTGGGGACGAAACCAGCAGGAAAGCGATTAGTGGCAGCGACGCCAGGAGTGCTCACGGCGCCGGGTTGTGGCCTACCCTGCATGTGAGAAGGGTATTGCTGGTGGGGGACGAAACCAGCAGGAAAGCAGTTGGCGGCAGCGACGCCGGGAGGAGGGAGCTGTTGTGGCATGCTCATTCGTTGTGGCATGCTCATTTGTTGCGGCATGCTCATCTGCTGTGGCATGCTTAATTGTTGGGGTGGGTAGGTTGGCCTTGGAGCGGAGATGGTGATCCACTGCTGCAAGCCTTCACTCCACATGCGCTGGTGTTGGGTTGCGGTGTAGGCGGAGTAAGACATGTTGGTGGATGTGGAGGGTTTTTGTTGTGTGTGGGTGGAGAGTTTGGTAGTTCAAGATACTTCTGAAAGTTGTGATGGTGAAAGTAATTTGGTCTGAGAATTTGAGATATTAGGAGAGACGGAAGGGGATGTCAGCTATTTATTGCAGCGCAGGAAAGAGGATGTTCGGACTGCGAAATATTGTAACCTTGGTTCATTTTGAGGTGTTTTCATGACTGTATGCTATGGATGTAACAGCGGTGTTGGAGGCCGAGCACATAGGCGAAACCAGACCAGTAGAGAGCATTGCAATTACCTGAGAAGACACGGAACGTCCTCCCAGCCATCCATCAGTCACTTAGGCCACAAACAAGCCTATCGAGTCGATGTCCATTACGCGCGACCGTGCACACATGGTTGATCTGTGACTCTTCTCAAAATTTCCTCGAGCCGAGCCACTATGCTAGCCGCTTGTGTCGGGGCCACAACCCGTGATGATACCAAAATCCCCTAGAGTCCAGCTTCCGACCCAAGGCACCCATATCGCGCGGTAAAGCACGGATACCCTGCTCTTCCATGAGTTCGCCCACCCATTTAGCGAACTCCTGGCGCGTCTCCACCTCTTCCTTGGTCATAGACGACTCGGTCATAGAGCTGAAGCTCATGATGAGATCGAACCAGTCGTACACGCGCATATCAGCAATGATCCAGCGCTTGCCCGGCGTAAACTTCCGATGAGTTGCGATGATCGCTCTTGCGACGTCTTCGCCGTGGATGAAGTGCACAGCTCCTCGCTTAGCAACATCGTCTTTGGACTGACCGAGGCGAGGCAGCCATCTCGCGGGGACGCGCTCGCCGCCGTATAGACCCGATAAATTCAGCACACAGCCGTGGAGCGCTAGCAATTCGTCTTCCGCGATAGCTCGTTTATCCTCTTTGTCGTATGGCGCGTCATCAGCGCTCCAATCATTGGGTAGTTTATTGAAGATGCCCGTGGATCCGAGCTGCACCCAATTGTTCTTTGCGCCGTGAACCGAGCGGTAGAGACCTACGATGGTCTTTGACTGCGAGTGCCCCACCAATGGAAAGGTGATGACTACGGTTTGCGCTGCAGGCAGGCGCTTGTATGGCTCCGCATCACCAGACTCCGGGTCGAACTTGAACGGGATCGTGTTGTCTCTTCCGGTGGTGGTGGTCGCGGCATACGTGATATCGGTGTCTTCTAGTTGCGGAATCAGGAACGTGGACGTCCATCCGGCGCCCAGAATGAGTAGGTCCACCTCTTTCATTTGCTCGCGTAGCATTCTGTGTTGCAGGTGTGATGATTATTGCCGTGCGATATGTATCATACACGAGAGGCTGCTTGTTTCGATGTTATGACTTCAAGACGTTGAGCCAATGGGTGACACAAGGTGGGAGCCACAGCTGGTGTTGTCGTATGAAGTCGTGACGTCTGCACCCGAGCCAAATTAGCTTGCTTGATGCACGGCCCATCTGTTCGGCGCAACCATCCGCACGGGAATTCTAGCTAACCTGCAGGAGGCTGATGTTACTTATTTGAAAGCCTTTATACTTCAGACTTTTCCGGGTTCACACGAGGCCATGGGCTATGTATGCTGCATCTCAAGGTTGAGGTAAGTAACATGTTGAAAGCGACGAAGATATGGGTTTGGCATCCGAAAACTTGGTTCTAGAGATGTCAATCCAGCCATAAGAATCTAATGGGAGCAAGTTGAATCATAACTATAGCCGGCGCCTTCTTAGTCCAGACAACAGTTTCTCGATTGGGTAAGTTGTAGAGACGTGGATTCTCGCAAATCTGCTTTCAGTCGAAATCTGGAATTGACGTCATGTGCGGGAGCTTGTTCTCACGTGCCAGCGCGGTTAGCCCATTACATCTGAAACGCGCTGATTGGCTGCTTCCACTTCCAGGGGCCGCGTCTTCGTCATCACTATGAGCTGCGCATCAGCCCGCGGGCTCAGATAAGTTGTCGCAAAGATCATTCGCTCATTGCAGGCTGTTTGCGCATTCCAATTGATCATCCAATGCGAACATCACGAGTTTCCCGAGACGCGTCCCGCGTTGTCGCAGCGAGTCGCACGCAACGAGCGTTACGTCAGACACGAAGCGCAACCAATGCGCCAGCTCCAGTCAAACGCGAGCCAGGTAGCGACGAGAATGCTGGATCAGATTCAGACCTCAGCTCTGCGCCAGCGGACTCCGCCTCCGATGGCGAGACGCGACGTATGCCTATGAAGAGGAAAAGAGGCCAGGATATGCCAATCATGGTAAAGAAGGAGGTAGAGGAGACATCAATCACTGCAATCGCGTCTCCGAAGAAAGTCGCCAAGGTCAAGAAAGCGCGTCGTGCGCCTGCGAAGAAGATCAAGACCAGCGATGGAACTGTCACGATGGAGCCACCTGCGAATTGGGAGGAGATATATACCCTGACGAGGGAAATGCGGAATGAGAACCTCGCACCGGTGGATACTATGGGTTGCGAGAGCCTGGCGAAGGACATCAGATCGCCTCGCGATCGAAGGTTTCAGACGCTCATAGCTTTGATGCTGAGCAGCCAGACCAAAGACACTGTCTTAGCGCCTGTAATGCGAGGCATGCAGGAGAGGATGCCTGGGGTATGTGATCCGAAGCTATATGGCCATTCCCAGCTAACATAGTGCAGGGCTTCAACCTCGAATCGGTTCTCGCTTTAGAACCCCCCGAACTGAACGCGTTCATCAACAAAGTCGGCTTCCACAACCTGAAGACCAAGTACATCAAGCAAACGGCCGAGATATTGAGAGACAAATTCGACGGCGAAATTCCAGATACTATCGAAGGGCTGGTGTCGCTACCGGGTGTCGGACCTAAGATGGGGTACCTGACGATGAGCGCAGCTTGGGGCAAAACCGAGGGTATTGGTGTCGATGTCCACGTCCACCGCATCACCAACCTGTGGGGCTGGCACAAGACGCAGCAGCCAGAACAGACGCGTGCAGCACTGGAGTCATGGCTACCAAAAGACAAGTGGCATGACATCAATAACCTGCTCGTGGGCTTTGGGCAGACGATATGCCTGCCTGTGGGCAGGAAGTGTGGCGATTGCAAGTTGGCGGAGAGAGGTCTCTGTCCTTCAGCAGTCGTAGCTAAGAGCACGAAAGTCAAGAAAGAAGCTGTTGTGAAAGTAGAAGCGCCCAATGGCAGCGAAGAGGCGGTGGTGAAAGAAGAGAAGGTGGTGGCTGAAGTCGATGAGATCAAAGCAGAAGACGTGGAAGCTGCGATAGACATAGAAGATATTGGGCAGGCGCCACGAAGGAGGCCGCAGAGAAAGAAGTAGTAAGTAGTCCTAAAACATATCCTGAAGCCATGGCACGGCGTCTGACCTTCAAATCAGAAGCGCACACCTTGAACACAGTATTACATTTTGTCGCGTCGGTTTGGTGTTTAGCAGCAAACACTCTAGTACGGTCCTGGAGTGGGCCCTTTCGTCATGCAGACATTGGGACCATATCGCGCCTTCCAGTCTTCACCAGGCAACAGCACGCGATCGAGCTCTTGTCTTCATTCCTTGGTCTACTCACCGTGAACTTCTGCGAGCGTCCCTAAACGAGTGCTGACAGCGCTTCTGTCACCTCATCCTACAGGCAATTCACTGCACACCAGCCAAGTGCTGCCTGGTCAAGCACGGTCTTTGGTCCCTGGCGACCTCATCCGTGGTACTCAAATACGTTCCCCCACGCCTACTTAAGCATTCGCGATTGGCCCATCCCTCAACCGCACCTGAGAAGAGAAATTCTACCGATCTCACTTCCGTAGACGCAGCCCACAACGCCGCTGCACCTACACCACAGCAGCTAACTACCACAAGGCCCAACGACCAGCATCCACTACCACGCCATTCACCAGTGTGGGAGCCATCACTATGCCATCTCGACCAGAATACGAGGCGCCTACTCGGAGTCAGTCACAACGTGAGGGCCGTTGCACTGCATCCGAATCAACAAACTCCGACCCTGCATACGTCCCCATTCTCCAACGCGCCTTTCCGCGCGTCGCGATTCTACTGACATGCGCCATCTACCTCGCATCATCATTCGCAGCTGTCTACGTCGGATTCCACGGCATCGCGAACATGATATCCCCTCGACATGACCAAGCGGTAGACGAGTACTTGGTACTTTCAACATCCAAGTACACAGAGGATGCACTATACAAGAATCTGGACACACTTCTCTCTAGCCAACTGAACCGCGGCTTCATGGAGACTCATGAAGACTGTCTTGTCCGCGGTCTAAAGGAGGCCAACTACGAACTCTACGGCCTCGGCTTTCAGTACCCTGACATGCGCACGCAGGTCATGGACTGGACGATGGAGAACTGTGGTAGACTGCAGTACACGCCACAAGTGGTGATACAGGATCCAACCCCACAGCAGGCTGTGCTGACATTCTGGGCGGATGCCAGCTATCGCTCTCGCCGTATACTTGAGGGAGCTCTGGGTGCCGTGCAGCAGCAGGCTCGTCGCTTCTGGAACCGACTTTCCAGCGCGTTCACGCATAAGAAACCATCTCCCCTCACCGAACACGTTCCTGTTAGTGCCAACACTAGCGGAACGCCTCCTCCGAGCCGAGCCCTGCCCAAGGTACCGTTCGGCTTCGCTCTGCGCTGCGAGCCCACCGAACCATGCCGCCTAGTCTACCCATCCGGTTCTTCTAAGCGTGCAAATAAAGTCAGCGTCTCACGCGAGGTCCTCGCGAAGCTCAAACGCGAGATCAAAGAAATGCGGGACGCCAGCCGCCAGGTCAAAAAAGCTAAATGGGCTACGGAGCAGGTTGTGATCTTTTTCGACTACATCCACGCCTCTATCTTGGTGGTCATGTTTGCGATCATCTTCGGTGTGGCCCCGTTCGTCATACGCAAGGCCGTTCGCCCTCCTCCCCCTTCCCGCAAGCCGGAACAGATCAAAATCATGCCCGCATCCCTGCATTTTTGTTTTGTAGGGAGACTGATATCAGAGCTG